TTTTGTAATCATCCTCATATGATATAAAATTTGTCAAAACCCTGGGAATAATTATTTGACCTTTAAAAGTTTTTTACTGATACAACAAACAGTGTCAGAGAGTGCAAAAAACTGTTTTATTAATTTAAGGGGGATAAAATGTATATTAAAATACAAGAGGGGCCCTGAGGCCCTGAGGGGCGTCACCTGTATAAAGCCCCTCCCTCGGGCCCAAAATTTTTTCCCAAGGGGTTTTTTTTGTTTATTTTGAACCCGACTTGGTTTAAAACCCATAAGAAAAATGTTTCATGTAAAAAACTAATTCCCAGCCCCAATTGGGGGTTTTTTAAAAAGATTTTTAAGTTTTTGCAAAATACATATAAGGAAAATCAAAGAACCCCCGGGGGGGGGGCCAAATTTTTTACCCCCGGGCTTTTTTTTGAACCCAACCTTGGTAGACACCCAAATTTGAAAAATGTTTCATGCTTAATATTTTTAACTCTAGCTCTTTTGAATTCTTTAAAAAAAAAGAAATTTTTTTAAATTTTACCTATTTTGCCTATAGGGAAAAAAACAATGGGCCCCCCGGGGCGGGGGCCCAAATTTTGACCCCAGGGGGTTTTATTTTAACCAAAAATTGGGAGGGGGCCCCTCATTAAAAAATGTTTCATGCTTTAAAAATCTTAGCTCTTTAAATCTTTGGGTTCTTTAAAAAGAAATTTTTTAAGTTTTTACTAATAAAGCATATATGGAAAAAAACAAAGACCCCCGGGGCGGGGCCCAAATTTTTACCCCCGGGCTTTTATTTTTAAAAAAAATTTGGAGACACTCATTTTTGAAGAATTTTCATTCTAAAAGTCTTTTTTTTAGCTATTTGGGTTCCCTTTTAAAAAAAATTTTTTAAGTTCTTTACTATATGCATATAGGGAAAATCAAAGACCCCCCGGGGGGGAGCCAAAAATTTGGGGCCCCGGGGTTTTATTTGAACAAAAAATTTTGGGAGGGCATTCACTAGAAATGTTTCATTTCCAAAAATTTTAAGCTCTAGCTCTTACGGGTTTTTTAAAAGGAAAAATTTTTTAAGTTTTTACTAAAATGGGAATTTTTTGGGGAAAATTTAATTTACCCCCGGGGCGGGGCCAATTTTGGGCCCCAGGGGTTTTATTTGAACAAACTTGGGAGGCACTCACTAGAAGAGTTTCATGCCAAATATCTTAGCTTTAAACTCTTTTGGGTTTTTTAAAAAAGATTTTTTAATTTTTTTCTATATGATTTTAGGGAAAAAACAAACCCCCCGGTTTTCGGGGCCCCAAATTTTTACCCCAGGCTTTTATTTTTAACAAATTGGGAGGGCACTTTACAGAAGATGTTTCATTTCCCAAAATCTTAGCTCAGCCCCTTTGATTCTTTTAAAAGAAGATTTTTTTAAATTTTTTAAAATATGGGATAAAAATGGAAAATTTTTAAAGGGACCCCCTGGGGGGGGGGCCAATTTTTGGGCCCCAGGGGTTTTATTTGAACAAATTGTAACATTCACTAGAAAGGGTTTTATTTTTAAAAATTTTTTAATTCTGCAAAATTACGGGGTTTTTTAAAAAAAAATTTGTTTAAATTTTTACTATATGCATATAGGGAAAAACAAAAGGGCCCCCCAAAGGGGGGGGCCCAAAATTTTTACCCCAGGGCTTTTTTTTGAACAAAAATTGGTAGACACTCACTAGGGAAAATTTCAAAGCCCAAAAATCTTAGTCTAGCTATTTGGGTTCTTTTAAAAAAAGATTTTTTTAAAAATTTTTACTTTTATGCAATTTGGGAAAAAACTATGACCCCCCTGGGGGAGGGGCCCAAATTTTGACCCAAAGGTTTTTGATTTTAAAAAAACCCTTTGGGAAGGACACTCCCCTAGAAGATGTTTCATTTCCAAATATGGGTTAAACCTCTAAAACTCTTTGGGTTTTTTTTAAAAAGAAATTTTTTTTTAAATTTTTTCCATATTTCATTTTAGGGAAAAAACAATGGACCCCCGGGGCGGGGCCAATTTTGACCCCGGGGTTTTTTTTTTAAAAAAATTTGGGTTAACCCATCATAAAAGATGTTTCATCCCAAATATCTAAGCTCTACTCTTAGAGTTTTTTTTAAAAGATGATATTTAAAGTTTTTTTTTCGGTTGCCATGGCAACCAGATTCGGGGAAATTTAAAATTCTCTGAACAATTTTTAAAGTGACCACCAAAGGAACATTCCTGTGAAGTTTGGGGGAAAAATTGGGGCCAGGGTTTATGGGGAGATGTATTTAAAAAAAAATTTTAGGGGACGACGGAGGGGAAGGGACGACGGAAGGACCCCGGGGACGAAAATTTTGATACAAAAAAAATCGGGCAAGTGTGCTCTTCAGCACGATCTAATCATTCTACATTGTAATTCACATAATTTACATTGAAACCAAAAAATGGATGTTAAATAAAGACAGACAAGTTTTTGTATCTAAATTCACAGTTTTTTTAATTTTTGATATCATACAATAGTCTTTGTATTATTATGATATGTAAGTTTTTAACCGGGAGATGGTTTTCCCATATACCAGCATTATTTTCCTTTGTATCTTAACACTTTTTTCTCCATACCCGGCTTCTCAACCTGAATATATGAAAACAAAAATTTGACCTGCATCACAACAAAACCAACATAATGGGTTTGTGACCAGCAGGGATCCAGCCCACCCTTCATCCGGGCAGTCTATCAGATCCATACTATTTGGTTACCACCCTATTACAAGTAGAGAAATGAAGTGAAGCAGGGATTCTGACAGACTGCGCGGATGCGCAGGGGGTCAGGACCATGCGGGGGCAACCCCCACTATTTTGGGTTTGTTGTGACACAGTTCATTTGTAACAAAATTTTCAAACAAGGTTTACAATTCATCATATAACACATTCATTTCATTTAAACTACTGACAAAAGAAAAATTTCTTTTTGTCAAGTGACTTAGTCAACTGGAAAAGAAAACAAAAGCTGTCAAGGGTTTGATATTTAAAACAAAAGCCTGATAATGATAGCAATTTTTAAGTTGTAAAAGGGCCATAAGTTCTGTGGTCCAAAATCCTATGCTCAAGTCATAAGATGGGGTGCTTGAATATCCCCTTCTTATTTTGCTCTTCCAAATAAGCCCTCGTAAACGTTTTCAACCCCATCCCTCAGTAGTTTTTAAATACTAACTTGGGGCAAAAACTTGAAACCGAGGGATACACAGACACCAAATGGCCTGTGTGAAGCATACAATAGTCTCCCCTAATATCACTTTAAAGCAGGGCAAAGTCTCTTTATATAAATACAACAGTCGTTGAGGTTGAAAAAAAACAATCAAGTACTTGGTTAACAAATAATTAAGGCATAGAGAACCTACCTTTCACTCGTAATAGTTTTAGATTTGAAGTCATTTTAACAACTAAAACATCTTTTTTCATACCGTGCTGGTAAGTATCTGTATTATTCACATGACTGAAATAAATAAAACACCTTATGCTAACATTAAACTTTCATGGGAAATAAAGAAAATCCAAATTTTTTATTGATATAACTTTTCAGGTTGAATTTGACATTTTAAAACATATGAGCCACGTCACAACAAAACCAACAGATGGGTTTGCAAATCTGCCAGTCGATCAGGATCCATGCGTTCACTTTTCAAACTCTAAACAATAGAGAACTATAGCAAAAGCATAGATCCTGATCTGACGCGTGTGCGCAGGCTGGTTGGATCTATGTTGGTCGAAAACCCTTTATGTTGGTTTTTCAACAGGGGCTAAATTTTCATATTGGTATATTTTTTAATAAGCTTTAACTTATTTGGAAAACAAGAATAATTAAAAAAACAAAAATGTGTGAGGCATAGGAATTTAAATCCAACTCTAAACTTTTGGGCTTCATGAAGTCATCTTTTCTTATTTTTTTATAGTACACTTTATGAAATAAACAAAGGATTGTTCCGTATAAAAATCTAGGGCAAGTAAATTCTACAATATTATTGATGGACACCGCGTTAAAAAGTTTGTTATCAAGGTTACCTTGAAAATATCAAATAGTTCTGATGATCGCCCTTTTTCTGAGTTAAGTGTCCATGCTCCTGGTGTGGCTTTCAGTTGAAAATAGCCCTTTTTAATAACTTGATTTCTCAATATGTATTAGCATAAAATAATATTCATAAAAAGTTGTTTATATATATTACCTACATGGAGACTGACTTGCTTTTTTTTCATTTATTAAATGGGGATAACTATCTGGTTTTACATTTTTTGTAATTTTCCTCATTTCACCATTTCACACTCTAAACATTAGAATAGCTGCATATGACAAAAGTTTTCAGTTGCCATATAATATGTCATAAAAATAAAAATATTATTTAAACAAAATAAGTATTAGAGAAAAGTAATGATTTAATGTATTGAAAACACCTGTATTTTCCATGATACCTTCAAAATTTTTAGAAATGACCTACATTAAAAGTTTTTTCAATAACAACAAAACATGAGGATAACAATAGCTTGGACTTTTTCATAAACAAGTAAAAATTAAGAGTAATTCAAGAAAAAAAAAAAAACTCAAAATTTCCCCGTTTTCCATGCAATTTTTATCTTTTTAGAAAAAATTGAAAGTTTGAACCAAACAAAAACTGAAACCCCTAGGTGGTGGGGCCCAGTTTCCATCATAACAATGTCCTAAAATAAGAAGAAATAAATTTGTGGTTAACACAGAAAATGTTTTGAAATGGTGACTGCTTGTTATATACATTTGGAACCATTTCAAGTGTAAATCTAACATCAATTGATGCTGAAAAATTTAACAATGGATATTTTGGGAGTCAAAATTATCCAAAAAATCTTGATTACTTTAATTAAAAAAAAAAAAAAAAGAAAAAAAAAGCTATTTTTATTTTGACAAAGATTTAGATCATTATGTAACACCTTTCAAGTACAAAAAACAACATATTCTGTGTATATATAAAATTAAAAATAAAGCTCGCACCTTCCAATAGTAGAGATTCGAGATCAAAGTCCGCAGTTATGCCACCTTTCACTTCCTCCAGCAGTATATTATCCAGATCATACTGTGCCGACACAGCTTGTACGAGCCAGCTCTCTGGGGGCTCCATCCCCAGGGTCAGGATTGACTTGTTTGGGAGGTCGGTAAACTTGGCGATAGGGCCTGATGTTAGACTCCCATCAGCTTTGAATTTAAGTTCTGGATTGAGAACATATCTGTAATACCTGATATAAAGAAATACATTACATTGAATTTTTTTTTTTTGAGTTAAGAGAACTCCCCAAAGGTACCATGTATGTACTTGCAATTCATTTATAAAATTTAGCAAGACCATTCCTTTGTTTAAATACTCACTAGTACATGTATTTCAAACTTCGTATATCCACATATCATCACCTTTGTGAAACTGGTTAACTGCTATTAAATTTATAAGGACTTAGCTTGTTAATGCACTAATGTGACAAATTATAATTACATACCTCTTCAATGGCATCTCTGACAGTTTATCCTTGCTGTTCATATAGATCTTGATGTCAAGGTTATACAAGTCCTTCAGTACCATCAGGATGGGTGCGAGCTTCTGGGCAGCAGCAGACACCGGGTCAATTATAGCCTCAATCTGGAACGCTGGGGTCTCTGGGTTACCTGGTATCTTTACCACACTGTTTTATAGAATAAAAAATCTACTTCACACATGAATCATAACAATAATTTTAGTCCTTTTTATGTTGCAAATCAAGCATAAATGATGGGATTATCTGAATATTACTTTTAATCTTCACTTATTTCTAGACTCAATATTTTAGTGGTGAGTCACTCTTTGTCACATTAAACTTAAAATTTAATTTGAAAAGCTGGCCCTCCAATGATTAGCTGAAAACTAAAATCGGGGGTTCAAAAATGAAATAAAAATTAAACTTTTGGGTTTGTTGACCCCTTGGGTTGGTGTTAAACACTTGGATGCAAAGAAGGAAAAGTTTTTGGAATTGGAGATCTTTCGTTCCGTACTTGCCCTTTCAAAACAAAAAGATTATATTCCCTTAAAAGGGGACTCGCCCATGTTGGTGACCGGTGGCAAGTATAAATAAACTCAAATACACACACTTCATTGCAGTCTAACCAGGCTTATTACTATTGATAACTTAATTTTTCACAATGAAAATCCAATAAACTACAAATGGTTAGTTGTAAAATCAAAGAGAGACAGGCAAAGGGTTTACAATGGTGGGCTCTATAATGGTCTAAATGATAATTACCTATGTTGGTCTCCTCCATAATTGACCTTCTTTCTTGCCCTACTTTTCTCCATTGATGCTAAAAGACCACCAACCTTCATCAGTAAATCGCTGCCCCTAGATATATAGAAAGGGAAAAAATCAGAGGAGCATAAAAAACAGAAGCTAAAGCAGGCTTTATGGTTCACAAAACATGTTACGTTGAAGAACTTTTGCTTTAAAATTCAAAAGCAGGGTAAGTCCAATACATAATTCAGCAGAATAATCATTTACAGAAAAAAAATCAGGCAATTTAATAGGTAATACTAACTTTTGCCCAGTGAATTTCATTCCCTTCAGTGTGGTTTTAATCTTCTTGGCTGATTTCTGTTTGACAAATAATTCCAGTAAATCTACATCTTCATTAATAAACTCTTCTGTATCACCCAGAGGACCAAGAACCTATATAAAAAAAATATTTTCATGAGCAAAAAAACAAAACAAAAAATTCCACTGTAATATCTAGATATCTAATTATCCAGTTTATCTGCTAAATTATGATTATTTGTTTGTTTAATGAATATTTCATATCAATCATGCATTATGCTAGGTCAGTTTTTTTTCTATAATTGTCATGTACTTCTTGGAATTATTCCAGGCTTATTATGTACTTTCAGTTACTGATTGAAGCTATTCTACCAATACAATACAATTTCCATTTTATCAGTTATACCTTTATAAACAGAAAAGAAATATCCGTGAAATGACTAATACCCCTATGGCAGAGCAAGTTCCTTACATAAATTCAGATTGTAATGATTGAAAAAATGAAATGAAATAATCAAGTAGATCTTTCATTTCTCCAATCATGATAAGATGATAAGTGCATTTTCTATAAAATATCAAATATCACTTTCTCAAATATTTATCACAAAATAATTTCTAAATTGAAGATCAAAGTATAATACCCATGTTTACCTGTCCATTAGTCACTAGACCTCTTTGACTGGCCCCAAATTCTAAGACTCTTTCTGCAAACAGTCTGTGTACTTTCAAATAGTCCCCAGTCTGCTTCTCATAGGCTTCTAGATATGCTTTCATGTCCATTCCCTTTAAATTTATATATTATAATATTATATCTTTGAAGATTTGCAACAGTAATGACTTGCAAATACAACCACTGCAGTACCCAACAAGCCTACAAAGTGGTACAGTTTGTCCAGGCTGTATTTTAAGAAAAATTAATATCCTTACTCTTTTAATTTGTCAAACTACATTGTATAAATTTTATGCCTATTCTTTTTTTGACATACCACATTTATGATATAGCATTTATAAAGCACTTTATTAGTTTGTTTACAGTTTATACAAATGTAAAAAATACAGAATGATCATAATGTATAATAGTTATGGTCAAAATAAACCAAAAATATCATCATATTCAAATTTTTTGTGCACCCTCCCCCAACACCCCCAAAATTTAAAAGAAATCTCAATGCTCAGTTTTAAAAATTCTGTACAAAATAAAGCTTTAAAAGCAGTAAATGAGAGTTAAACAATTTCAACTCTTAACCATTACTTCAATAAAACAACGGAATGAAAGAAGGTACTAACGTTGACTTCCAGATCATTCAGCGTCTTGTCTCCACTCTGTAGGGCCTCAAAATTCTCCTCCTTCACAAGTTTGGTGATAAAATTTTTGCCGAGTGTATTAGACAGGGTGTTTGCGGCTACGTGCACAGCCTTGTTGATATCAACTTTACCTGTACCTGGTGCAGCAGCATTCATGATAAAACCCAGTCTGAGATCATTGGAATGTTTCTGAAAATATATATATGCGCCATGTTTACACATCTTTAAAGTGACATCATGCCAATCCTAGGGAATATAGTCAGTGAACAGGTGAAAGTCAAATTATGTTAACATTTTGCTACAATTCCTTGCAATTTTATAATTTACTATGGATAAATGAAAAATCTAAGCACAGAAGACTTTGAAGTTCATACATAATAAGTTTGACCCTAACCTTGATATGAAGAAGGTCAAACCTGAACTTTGTATATTATTTCATTTAAGTTTACATTATCATTAAATTATTACAAACTAGTATTACAGAGTAATTCCCATTTCCTTCTATTGCTTAAAAAGATAAACACTGGACATGAATTTACAGTAGACCTTCAGTTAGTCGAGGGTTGAAGGGACTTGGGTAAAAACTTCGACTCATCGGGACTTCGACTCATGAATCGGTCTCTTTTTCATGACAAAAAAGAGACAACCAAGGGCATAACATTACATGTCCCAAATTTGTATAAAAATAAATTTTAACAAACATTTTATCTCTCGACATAATGTACTAAAAGTTGTTCAACTATGAAGTCAAATAAGTAATGACAATTAATCTTTAATTAACTTACAAGTCTTTTAAGGGCAGAGTAAGCCAAGGTTCTGCCAGCCTCTGTCTGTAGATCACTAACAAGCCACATTGACACCGGGTATATATTGCTCTCATCTGAAAAATACATTTAAACCTAAATGATTATTACAATGACAGGCATCAAAAAATATTTTAAGAGTCACTTATCCTGCAGGACCAGTTGCTACTAAATCCAATGTACAGGCAACATTTTTCTACTCGTCCTGCATCGAGTACTCTTAAGTAGTATTCATAATTATGAGCGGACAAGTGTAAATGACAATATCAACAATGGTACATGCTACTTTGTATTATTAAATGAAACTAAATTTAAATCAATGTTGTCATACAAAAAAACCCACACTATGCTCTAAAAAGAGTGGCAGAATGGCCAAGTAGTGTAACATCTGACTAGTAATCTAAGGATTGCTGGCTTCATGGGTTCAAACCTCGTTAGGGGCAAGCTGTTGTTTCAGTGTTCAAGAAATTTTACAATCATTGCTTAATACTGGTTGGTTCCAGGGACAGATTAGAGAGTGGTTCAATCCAACACAATCTCAATAAAATGAATAAGTTTAAACTTAAGAAATTTTTGCTCTACACAACTACTATCAATCTAGGATACTTAAAATCATGGATTTTCAAATTAACCATGATATTCTATGATAAACCATTATTACTAGGTGTGACACATTTTATATTTACCATTTCTATAAAAATATTTCATGCTGTTGGCCATAACTGCACTCATATCCTTTGATGTCAAAATCTCAAAGGTACTGTAATCTTCAGACAGACCTGATTCTGAAAAATATATATGAACAGACATCATATGATTGATATATATCACATTAGCATATAAAAGAAGTGCATACATGAATATGAAGGTAAGAAGCTCTGCATTCAATAATTTATACTGCATCACAATTTTAAATTTTAATATCAGAAAGTCTTTACAAAAGTCATACATCATGAATTTTGTCATAGTTTGCACAGTCGTTTGGCACATATGTTTTGCCAATCATGATCAAATTATCATATTATATATTAAACGGGTGCTGAATAGTAATTTTGTTCATGATGATCAAGGGGAGATTATTTTATGATAATTTTACCATGACCGGCAAAACAAATGGGCTGAACACCTGTGTTTAAACTAAGAAAATGTCATACCAATATTCTCAGAAAGGTCGAGAGTTTTTGATGGACCAGACAACACCCTGGAGTTAAGTCTAGGTAAAACATTATCTTTCTCCATGAGCCATTCCAATACATTATGACCCTCATTTAATCTTCCCTGTAAAATATATATTTTGATTATGACCCATGTGCAAACTTCCCTTTAAGATTTTAAAGATCCTGTAACACAATTTTTTTATGGTTTTATATCATAAATATGATGCTCAAATTAAGATTTATCAATATTGTAAGTTCCAAAAAGCATTATTTATAAAGATATTTCCGAATTTATCATTTCATGTCAATAAAGGGAGGTAACAAGAAATTATTTTCTATAAGTCTATAAAGTCTAAGTCAAATTTTTCAATAAGAAATGAATGCATATATTTTAATGATTACATATGATATGTACAAATATTTGCAGTACATATTTTACATTTTCTTCGATGATTGAAAATTGTTTTATAAGCATAACTATATACTTATATATAATTTTACTTAAGTGTTTTGCTCGCCCAATGGCCAGGATAAACAAAGCCAAACCCACAATGGTAAACAACCTCAATTACAACATACAGGATCTTTAACATTTCGGATAATTATTATAATTTAATTTAAATCAACATAATTAACTTTCATGTTTTTACTAAATTACACACAGTTTTTATGTAATTAGAATAAACATTTCACCTGATACACATTTTGTTGTATTTCTGGTGTAGACTGCATGATTTCTGATATTACACCTTCCTCAAAGTTGTCCTGGTTCAAATCACTCTTCTTCAATGGTTTACCGTTCAATAACACCTGGGGGAAGTCACTGAGACCTGACCTTGACAAGAAGTCTCCACTACTCTGTAAAATTGAAAATACCCTGGATTGAATGATTTTCATTGTTTATTTAAACAAAATGTTGATTTTTTTTTATAAATACTATGACATCAACAATAAATATCTATCATATTTCTCCTTACATTTTTCCTTTCTTCTAGCTTTTCTCTATAAGTTACCTTAGTCTATAGTGATAATTCAACAATCAAATATATTGTACATTCTTAGAGCTTACATGTAAACGCAACATGCTTGTCTCTTTATTTTGAAAATTTACCTTTAATGGAGAGGAATTGATATTTTGTATATATATTGTTTTATTTGTTTTCCAATCTTATCTGAATTACGTTGTTGTGAAATATTTGTAAATGTTATCTATGTTAATTTATTGAGTTAATAAGTTTTTAAATGGACTTTATATTCCACTAACACTGTTTATGTCATATGGTGACTTTTCAGGGTTTTTTCTGGTAGCAGAAGACTTCAGGTGCCCTTTTGTGAATTAATTTAGGTACAAACTGACACCTGAGTAGAACAATCTTCATTCTGTTAGCTAGCAGGAAAGCTTCTTTAGATTAAACAAATTCAAAGTCTATCACTGGATTCAAACCTACTGTGGTGAGAGGTTAAGTCGGCAGCTTTAATCATTCAGCCACAGAGACTTACAAATTTAAAGAGATTCAAGACACATAAAGGACTAAGTCACCTAACCTATGACTACATTTAACTCAGTAATAGCAAATGACTTGTACAGGAATTTTTAATTCAAATATATAAAATACAATGTACATACCTTTTTCACATAATCATACTCAGAGTTTTTCCCAAACACTTTATCAAGTTCTTCATCAGCAAACTGAGATTTGAACTCGGCTGTTATCATATCTACAGTAATATCATCAGTCTTGGCTGTCTCATAAACCTACAGGACACAAATTCATTTCACTCTTTTATTAACATCAACATCAGATTGATCATTTTCATAAGTATTTCAAGATGAAAAGAAAGTTGTTGTTTTTTTTTGTTGTAAGTCAAATCAACACTATAAAGCTTATCTTGTCTCTTCAGTGCAATAAGAGATTACCTCCTATTAAATTTAAGAGGAGTTAGTCTGTTATTGCACTAAGTTCATGATATGGCCACATTCCAGGTTTGGAGGGAGACTTCAGGTGCCCCTTTTCATGCAATACCAATATTTCAGGCACAAACAGGCACCAAATTATAACCACCAACCTTCTGTAAGCTAGCTATATAGCTCCCTCTCAGATATTTGTACATTTAATATGAAAATTTATGCCAGTTTAAAATAAAGGTGTTTATACATTTCTTTCAGTTTAAAGACTTTAAGATCAGTATTAAAAGTCTGTTAATTTGAAGGTTTTAAAACCAATTTATAATTCTGCAATGTGTTCAAAATCATTTTAAAAGTTTTCAAGACATTTTAAAAAGTTTTCAAGAAAGTTTAAAATAGTTTGATGGTTTTCAAGAAAGTTTTGAGGTTTTCAAGAAAAATTTGAGGGTTTTCAAGAAAGTTTGAAGGTTTTCAAGAAAGTTTGAAGGTTTCAATACAACATAACTTGATAAATTTCATGACCTCTAACATAGTTGACAATAGTTTCACAACAAATAAAAAAAACTTGGACTTACATCAGTAATAAAGGTCAAGGCTTTAGGTGGATCCTCCTCCTGTCTAATATAATCAAAGGCGTACGCCAGGGCCACTGCTGGGTCATCATACCCGCACACTTCCTTGGCCGAGTTCACAGCAAACACTAAACCAATTCTGACTGGTACACTGTGAACATAGAAAGCCTCGGCAATCTTCAGTAACTCCCTACTGTCCTTCTCTAGTGGATCAATGATAAATACCTGAACAAAACAATGTGGTATAGCATAGTTAATACCTAAACAATGTGGTATAGCATAGATAAATACCTGAACAAAACAATGTGGTATAACATAGTCATTATTTGGTATGAAAGATAATTTGCATAATCAACTTCTTAGTCCTTTGCATGCCCTTTAAAGATCAAGCCTCTTGAGCAATATTTCAGGGAAATGTCAGTATCAGAATAGGCCTCTCAAATTATTTCTGTTTTTCTGATTTTTTTTTTCTTTTGAATTTACAAATATGAATCAATTTTTTCCACATTAATTATTTTGATAGTTCAAATAGTGTACTTGTACATTTCAAATATATCTTTTTATCTTAACCAAAAAAGAAAAGCAACATACCAGGTTAAAGAAGTTCTTGGCAACATGTCGCAGCATTCCAGGGTAAGTGGGTCGCAAGATGTCTTGCATCTGGTCCGGCCAAACTTTGTATTTCTCATCTGTCTCAAGGTCATTGATATACTGTATAAATATGAATCAATTAATTAGGGGTGTCATCGATTCAATCGATATCGGTGTATCAACGATCTTTGTTATCCGATTCGATATCGATTCCATTTTTTAAATATTGGATATCTAATGCACATATATTTCTAGCTAAAGAGACTTCAGCGAACAGGTTTTATAGAACTGATAGACCTGTTTACTGTCGCAAAACGTCAAAATAAAAGCGACATATAAAGTTATGGAAGCCAGAAACATTTTTTTTCTAAAATGAAAATGGAAATCAATGCCAAAGTTACCTCCCAGTGTCTCTAACGAATGCTGCCTAATTTCGTTGTAATCTCGCACATCTGCTAAGTGGATGTCAAGACCCCTCAATTCAGATTTTAAAAAGGGAAAATGCCAAGAAAAATTTGTCAGTGTTTCTTTGTAAAAATTATGATTACAAAATGTTAAACTTTAATAAATATTCAGGTTCTAAACACTATAATTTGCCAATTAAACTCGGCTTAATTGGAACGGCAAGGACAGGATTTAGCATGATCAGTAACTACGTAATAGCAACAACAACAACAAAAGTAAAATTGAAAAGGCTTTAAACTTTATAGTTACTAGTCATTAGTTTTCATTTATAAGCTAAAATTTAGCCTGGCAATCGATATATCGCTGTATCGCCGATAATTCATTACCGATATATCGATACAAAAATCCTTATCGATGACACCTCTACAATTAATAAGTTCAGTTCTCTTAAAAAGAATTAAGACAGTAAATAACACGTGTTGACATTCATTCTAAAGTAAACTATACATACATCATCTCTAGGAAGTGTTGGCAATATGATGGTTTATATAACTAGAATTTTACTCAAGATCCCCTAGTTGGATTTTTTAGAAAGTACTGTCACTCAAAATACTATCTCTACATGAATAGCACCGTTATTATAGCTTCATTACTATATTAACATCATGAAGTTCAATATCAAAATCAATCTAATAATGTAAAACAATTACTAAATCACGTTAATGAAGAAAAAAAAATCATATCACTCTAATGAAGTAGAACAACTATCAAATCATTCTACTGATGTAAAACAATTGCCATTCCAAGAGACAGTTGTATTATCCTCTTGCACAAATTATTAAAATAAAGGTGCAAAATTGTTAATCAAACTCCTAGTGGCCTAAACATAAATAGAGATCTTGTTAACTAAGCATAGAGGGCACTAAATACATGTTTGATTAAATATATAAAACAAAGATTTTTACCTGTACAGCACTGTGTCTGATATCTAGAGCAAATTCCTGCTTATCATCATTAGTCTCTATCTGTAGTAACTTATACAAGTCATCTCCCTGTTTCATAGACAAAACATTGAATCAATAAATCTTTCCTATACAAAGATAGGTAATTTAATTTAACATAGAAATCCAGCTATAATGTTTACAAGTAAGGTAAATTACTGATTTAATTGTATAGACTTAATAAAACAGAGTCTGCAAATTTCACGTAATTTTGCTGATTTTAATGCTTCAGAGGGATCCTGATATTAATCCTAAACCAGAATGCTAAACCAGGAACCTTTTAAACTGCAGACATTTGTACAATGGGCTCACCCTTATCAACAGTTCATCAGCCGTTTAAGGGATTATGATAAAATAATCACACTAAAATTGACAATACTATAGAGCCATGTCAATTTTAAGGACATTCATTTATTATTGCTACTGACACTTTTTTCTTTTATACATGTATGTAAAATATACAATAATTTCACTGAAGCATTTTCATGTGTATAGGATGTAGAAATACAAGTAAATGGGTATAATTATGTAAAAATTATAAAACTATCCATTATAATCCTGAAAATAAAATGTTACTAGAAGATGTTTGATTTTCTTAAGTATTTTCTACAATAATATGCTATTATTACAACTTGTTAAAGCTGCATGCCTCCAGATGAGCCAAAGAAATTCAACTTTGAGGAAAATGAACTAAAATTTTAAGAAAAGTAAAATCATTCACATTTCAAGTTAACGATTTACATGTTAATTAATTACAGATTAATAACTGATTTTGCAGAAATTATCACTATAATTCTACTGCATGACTATTGTAATAAAGGGTATTTTTGGATATTCTGACCTTTATTTGGTAAATTACTTGGACTGAACATGCCGTTTGCAATGTGTAAATTACATTCTTTGTTCACTTGACAATATTTTATGTTTTAATACATTTTCAATTTTTTCATGAAAATAATCATGAATCTGGAGGCGTGCTGCTTTAAATAAATCTGGAGGCGTGCTCCTTTAAACAAAATAAAACAAAATATAAATACAACAATAATTTGTTATTTACAAACCTTAAAACCCAGTGAGAATAGACCTTCCATGATTTTTGCTTCCGACTTCATGACGTCTAACAGTGTGAATATATCGTAGACGTCCATATCCATAGGTATACCATTCAAATATAGTGCAGATTCACCACCACCTATACCATGATAGTTCTCAAAGTACTGAAATCATTATACATAAAATATCACATCTATAGTTACACATGACAAAATAATGTTATCATCCTTAAATTTGTATAATGGACTTGTCAAGCTTACAATTTGGAACATTCCATTGTAACATTGTATGTTAATAATTAACCAAGTTATACAACCAAAAGCTGCCATAGTAGTTCTCACCTTAACCTAACACAGATAGCATAGGCAAGTCTTTATGACTGAATTATTTATATTATATCCAGCTTTTCTCATAGTGACCTGACATGTACATTTTAAACAATTTCCAATGAAAATAGGGATGTTAATTATCAATACCTGCTGGTTTTTCTCAATTTCATTTTTCATCTTATCATCTACTGACACTTTCACCAAAGATCTGAAAAAAGTTAATACATGTAATATATTGTATAAATTTCATGACCTAAACCATAGTTGGCAATAGTTTCAACAATTCAGGTCATGTAAAAAATGCATTGTATCATCTTTATCTTTGTGAATTACAAAATTCAAAACAAGGCATATTGCTACTTAGTGATAGATGCTTCCAAACCATTGACCTTGACCCCATACTGCACCAAAAATTAAAAGACCATTCAAAGTATGTGCCTCCCAAATATCAAAGATATCAGTCAAATGAGTGTATGCTCTATCAGCATTTGTAAATATCTATTTTTGGTATTGGTGACCTTGAACCCTGTGACCCCAAAATACACAATAAAGGTTGTCCTTACCTAGCCATGGTTGGAAAGTTTTGACTGATTTCTTTCAGGACTTGTAAAGCATTGTTGGGATCAGCTGATATAATTTTCTGAGCAGCTTGTAAACTAAGATCTGAAATAAAAAAAAGTCACAATTTTATTTGTTTGTCTGGTTTTAATGCCAATTATTACTTATTTTTGGTCATATCTTTCAAAGACAAGTAACCGTTGAACTAGATAGTTGATCTGTATCTAAAATGTTAATTATGCTTTTAAATTGATAACATTTACCCTTTATCCTGCTGAAACTGAAAGTGAAAGCATATCTGTAGCAGTCTGACCAGGGGCTAAACTGTTGGTAGCTCAATTTTTTGAATTTTGTGAAATCCCTTAAAATCTAAATGGAGTGTTCTAATTTCACAGTAGGGCATATACATCAAACAAATTCAGTACAGGTTAAATTAAAGGCCTAAGTCCATGTTACTGATATGCTATTCAAAATGTTAGGAATTAATATACATGTATATAACACTTTGATAATGGCATTTCTGAAAGTCCTATGTCACCAGTGTAGAGCTAGGTTAGTATGCCAATCAGACCAATTCCACACAAGGGGCAATACAATTAACATATTTTGATACTGAAATACTTAACACTTCTTACAAACAGTTTAAAAAAATCAAAGTAACTAAAGTGTAATATACTATGGCTTTGTTTGATTGGGTTTTACGTTGCACCAACACAGTATAGGTCATATAGTGACTTTCCAGCTTTTCAGGTAGAAACGGAGACTTCAGGTGCCCTTCCGTGCATTATTTCAGGCACGAACGGTCACCTGCTTCCTCACATGTAAGAATCTAAAGTCCCCGTCTGGATTCGAACCCAAAGGACAAGTGCTACTAGGGAGTAAATTAAACCAGCAGTTTTTATTGTAGAAAATTATCTCAAACACTATAATATATACCTTGTAACTGCCACACTTTAAAAGCTGCAAGTTCTGATGAAGAATCACTCAGAAATGTCTTAAACTTCTTTAAATCGTCTTTAAGTTCTGGATGATTGTCTCTACAAATATACAAGTGTAAATTTGTTTCACTGTACAAAACATATGGTGGAATTTTTTTTTTTTGGAGACCAAAGTTAAAACAGCATGACAAGCTGTCAGCTTGTGTTCATAAATTAAATTAAATTTATTTTTCTATCTACATGTATATATGATTACAATAGTTTAATTTGCCATCATGCATTGCATCATCAAATCAAATCAACAATGTTTATGTTTTCAATAATACAATAATTTCTTCAAACAACTGTGCATATGATTTTGTTTTCATGTTAAATTTTACCATGCATGTATTTAAGTGTATTTCTACTGCAGCCTCAACTATGACATATACAATTACACAATGCTTTCACAAAAAGTAATTCTGCTACAGTGAAATATATTTAACTTCGTAGATATAAACTTACTTCAGAGTAGAGAACACAAAACCTTCAACATCTGTGTCCGGATCATCTTCATCATCTGCACCACTGTCCCCCTCTATACATGATACAAGTAAAGATGATATAGAATTCTTATTCATTTATACAAATATAAAGAAAATCTACATCATTTGATAGCGTGAAGTCATGTTACCTACATTATTATGGATAATTTTGATATACTGAAATCTATTTTTAGTGGCAGGGTACATGGTCAATATGTTTGGGAATCACAAGCCTTATCTGGTATCAACTATAGTATGAATCCAATCTCATTAAAATCAGATCATAGTTTTTGCTCCATCACTATTTGCTACCTAGGGAAGGGTATTGGAGCTACAGTTAGGATATGATTATAATGAGATTGGGTACGAATCTGAACAGGATCTAGATATTTCTTTTTCAGTTTGGCAAGTTACCTTTATTACCAGGTTTAACAATAGTATATCAGACACAATACATGTACCATTTGGCAGTTGTTTATCTCACAAATGTTCCTGGATTTTGCACCAGTACTTTACTATTTTTTATCAACTTGTCTAAATTTAATCAACATTTTTTTCTTTAATCAACAATGGATAAGACAGGTTGTAGTAAAATTATGTTACTTTGAAATCAAACTTTTATATTGTACGTTGTAAGTCATTTAGGAGATGATTCTATATTTTTATTACTTTAACGAATTTCTGCAGTTGGCAGGAAAATCTTGCTAGTAAACTATTGCACAGTGTTAAAGTTTTAGTAAAGACAGTAAGGTATAGCATGATAAATGAAGCCACCTGTTTCTATATAGGAAAGTCAGCAATAAAGAGATTTTGCATTATGAGCAGATTGTTAAATGATTGAAAATCAAAATAAAACAATGATGATAATATGGAGAAATAATTTGATAACTAACTTTCTATTTAAATATGGTAATTTTTAGTCCAATGATTTATTATGAGAACCACTTTGAAATATATAGATTATTTCAAAAAATTGTATTAATGCCAATTTCCTTTAAGGATTTAATGAATTTTTCAATGATGAGAAATAATTTCCTGCAAGGATGTGATTGATACATGTGTTATCTTCATTTTGGTGAAATAATTTCCTTATTTTCCAATAGGTTAAATAATGGTGAAATAATTTCCTTATTTTCCATTAGGTTAAATAATTTCCTTATTTAGCAATACAAGTAATTGCGCTTGTGAATGTCCTATGATGCTGGCAGAACATATACTTTGAAATATGGTATGTTACAATTTGGTTGTATGCAAAATAGTTGTATTATCTCTATGACTTGGTAAGTTTCAACAGTTACAGCTCTTTCTTGTATCATATCACAATATGCTAGTGCAAGACTCTTGAAGTGAATGTTTTTGGTCTGTGTTCTTATTTTTTTTTGATGGAATTATCAGTTTGTTGTTTTTTTTTCCTCAAAATTACATATTTATATTCTTTTATAGTGTACTTTCTCCACTATCTGACAGACCTTCTGTAGAACTTACACTGAAATTGGCAGTATTTTCCTATGACTTATATATATATTTCAGTGGATTTATGAGATCCACTTATAAAGCAAGATGTACAGAATAACCTTAATTGAAGGGAAAAGACTTATGGGTGTGTAAATAAGGTGAATGTAGATAATTCAAAGGGGGACGTAAATCTTGCTTCATTAAGAATACCATGTAACACCTAACAAAAATAAAGAAATGTAATAAAAGTAAGGAAAACTAAAATAACTTCATCAATTGTGTATACCTTTACCACTATATAAAATAAAACACATATGTACTCCTTTGATAGAAAGAACATAAAGGGGAGATAATCTATGTTGTTTATATTCCAATTCCAGAGAATCACATCAAATAGTTTTTGATGAAAATTAGCATATTCTCAAAGTCTTTTGATTCTTAATAATAAGGAAATAACTATGGCCTCTGATGGCCTCTGAATCAAGAAAACTATAATTAACTGTCATTGAATACTGCTTTCAATTAAAAAGCAATGCTTTAATTAAATCTAAGTCTTCATTTTTTACTGAAAAAAAAAAGGTAGTGTTACACATTGTAAACAACCCTTCCACAGTTTGTATAAAGAAGTCAGCTAAATAATAGAATTTATATTAAAATGAAAGAATAAAAACAATTTCTGTAGGACTGTGCGAATGGAAAGGATGATAAATAAAGCAGTTGACCTATGATATGACTGCAGTTTTGTATGCAAGTAATAAAATTTTTTGTGTATATATATATTTTCAGTTTATACCTTCAGTATGTTGATCTGTGAAATTGATATAAGCATAATGAAATGAATATAATAAAATTTACTAAGAATTCAAGCATATGCCTAGACATACAAAAAATGTATATACAGGTTTTTATAAGAGAATCTTGATCTCGAGCTAAAAAGTATATTGACAAAATATTCAATACATGTTTATCTTTTATAATTTTTACATATTCTGTCACAATAAATATTTCAATGGTGTACAGGGAAAATCTTTGATAAAACTTAATCTTTATAAAACTAAAATCTAATTTTATTAGTAGCGCACTTGTTCAATGTACAAATAATGGGGCATTCGCAATCAATGAGTGACATGATTCTTTCATTCACATTTATCTCTAAAAGTTGATGTAAAGATTCAAATGTTTCTTACAAAATGGCCAAAACTGTTAAATTCTAGATTGATTTGTATGCCAATCAGAGCAATTGTGAATCAATGGGAATGCGCTGAAGCAGTTTTCTTGATTTGTAATGCAGTATACTGCATGTTTGCTTTATTGCTTTTCATTGGATAATTGTCACATTTATATAAACTGTATTTGTATTATTTCTTACATAAAAAAGTTTGCTTTACATTATTATTATTCATTCATTTCATAAAAGATTCTTGGCAAGTTATATGATACTTGAACCCCAAGGCACAGGTTATATTTCAAACAACTGTTTATATATGGCCATATAGATTAATAATATCTGTCATATTTTGCGGTTCGGATCGGAATATCCGGATATTCCGATCCAAACCGCAAACATATGTCAGATATTTTTTCTTGCATATTCTACCATATTCCATTATATTTTAAATTCTTTATCTTTATTTTCAATGAAAATTTATATCATTACAACCGTAACTACTTTCATTCAACAGCGTATGAATTACAAAATCATTCATAACGGTAAAATGACGTCATCTTTATCGTGCAATTGTACAGCACGCGACTCATCTGGAACCCCCCATGCCAGATGAAATTTCCGGCATGGGTAAAACTAACGGAAACGCCAGTCTGATATGCAAGAAAGAGTCTTATGAGCCGCGTCACGACAAAACCAACATAGTGCGTTTGCAACCAGCATGGATCCAGACCAGCCTGCGCATCCGCACAGTCTGATCAGGATCCATGCTGTTCGCTTTCAGTTTCCCTACTTGTAATAGGGTTGGTAAGCGAACAGCAAGGATCTTGATCAGACTGCGCAGATGTGAAGGCTGGTCTGGATCCATGCTGGTCACAAATGCACTATGTTGGTTTTGTTGTTACGCGGCTCATATATCCTCTCAAAAGTCTTTATAACTAATATAATCTGTCAATTTCTGCAGTATAACACTATGTAAAGCAACATATAAGGAATTGGTTTACCTTCAACTTTGGTGTCGTCTTTAGCTTTATACTCGGTACTTTTGATAGCAAGTTCTACACCATACCCTGATAGTCGTGTTTTTGTCTCAGAAGGATCCTTTATAAAAAATATCAAGTTATTTACAATATATACTAACATACTAATAATTTTTAATGTTATATGACATTTTTACAAATTTCATCCAAAAAAAAAAATACATGTAGAGTCAAGATACAATAAATAGGTCTTTTCAAATAGTGTTGTTTTTTCGCCCAACCCTTTTAAGAAAGATTATGGGTCTGCCTAATTAAGATATAATTAGCAGGGAAAAACAAGTTGCAGCAACATCCAAAATTGTAACAAATACAATGGAACAAACTTTCAGAATTAACTACAAATTGATCAGGAGAAAATTCACTAAATTTAAAATGAATATCAATGACGTCAAGAGCCTTGGGCAGTTACTTCCTGTTATGCTGTTTAATAAGTGTGTGAAGTTCCCAGCAAATATCTTTCAGGGTTGATGGGTTATGATGTTGCATGAACCAAAAAGTTGTGCCGATGCCAGGATAACAAGTATAGCCCTACTATTCATCAAAAAGTCAAGCAAAAAAAACCCCACAAACATATCCTTACCTTAATATAATGCCTATAAATGTAAGATAATTTGCCTAAATCGCTCAGCTCCACAAGTTTACCGTGAAACTTCTTAAAACCGGCTGTACCAAGCTGTGCGTACAAAATGACCGTCACTGGACTGGCCTTACCAGATGGGAATACATGGTCAAACTTGAAAAGGGCTGGGCCATCTCTGAAAAATAGTAATATCATTTTACATATTTATTTTATAAGATCTTAAATCACATCAACACTGTTTAAATGATATGATTTCTTCCCAGTATTTCTGCAATAACCCTGATGAAGACTCAGGAAAGTTAAAATGTCATTAGAGAAACCTTAAAACTTATCACGTCTTGATTGATTATTCCACTTGTATCATTTTTCTTAGTATTTCTGTAAGAGGGAGACATAAAATTCCCAATATGCAGTGTTTCAGACACAAAAGAAGAACCACTCCTATTTCTATCTTCAGTATTAAGACACAAGATGACAAAATATTATCTAAATTTCTCTTAATTTATTACAAATTAAGATTTCAAAATTAAAAATTATTAGGGTTGAATAACTAGAAAAGATTTCTTTAATATAAATACAACCTGCTAGTACACTATGTACATGTAACAATATTTTACAGCAAACACTATCCAAGGGTAAATCTGTCTTAAGAATTTAAAGAAAAAAAAAAATGTTCAAAACCAAAATAAAACTCTTAAATTCAGGCTCGAATTAGCTTGCAGCTGAATAACTAAGTGTTATTAATTTTTTATTTATTTTTTTATCAAAATGTTGAGCCAAAGTAAATTCTCATGCACTAACACATGGCATGTAGTTTCATTATGTGATAAAGCTTACCTATTTCCTACACTATTAACCAAACTCTCTATTTTGTTTGGATCACATGACTTCTGGCCATGCACATAAACAAAAGCATCACAACCCTCTGGTGGACCAGAATCTGTTGCCATCTGAAATTTTAAAATATTAACATGTTTAGTTTTAAAGTCATATCAATACCTGTCATTAGTTTAATTGATTTAATTAGATCATAAGACAACTCTCCAACATTTTCCTTTTTTAATTAAACAGTAATAAGTTTAATAAGGTCAATTCTCCAATTTATAACAACCACAACAACAGATCTATCATGATTTGACCCATTGTCAGCTTTGAAAAACTTAAAGGTAAAGAAGTAAAACCTATGTCCATGAGAACAGTATCATGCCAGCCTGTCAAACTATTCTGATTTAACTGGCTAATCAATTTTAGTTTTCTTGTTTCAGTAATCAATTTTTTTAAATTTATTTTCTTGTTTGTTTTTAAGTCGCACCAACACAGTATAGGTCATATGGCTATTTTTCAGCTTTACTGGCAGAGAAAGACCTAAGGTGCCCGTCAGTACATTATTTCAGACACAAGCAGGAAACTGAGTAGAACTACCAATATTCCCAGTATTTTTCAGTTTAGGTTATTTTGCAACTTTTGAATTTGCTCTGTAGAGAAGCCTCAGTAACTCGTCCATTTATTATTCCCTTATAATTATTATAAATTATAACCTAGGATCTAAGAAGAACCACAAAAATACACAAGTTGACTTTATGGCCTCCTCATATTGTTTTTTTTTTTTTGTTGAACATCACACCAACACACTATAGGTCATATGACAACTTTCCAGCTTTACTTGTGGATGAAGACCTCAGGTGCCCTTCTGTGCATAAATTCAGGCCCAAACGGGCACCTGAGTAGAACCACTAACATTCCGTAAGCTAGCTGGATAGAATCCAAAATCCAGGTCAGGATTCGAACCCACAGCAGTGAGGGGCAAGTGACCTTCCTCATATAGAGAATCCAAAGTCTCTGTTAGAATTGAAACTTACAACTATAAGGGGCATGATTCGAATTCACTTAACATGGGAAAGCCTCAATGTTCATAGAATTTCTTACCAAATGTTTATAATATTCAGGTGGTAATGACAATAATCAATAAAAGGGAAACAACACCAACCTGCTGGTACATTTCTACTGTAGGAGAATAGGATCTCAAAGACAGGAACATTTTCAAAAAGTTCTGTAACATTGGCGATAGAAATTTGCTAGAAAATTTTTGAATAAGGTGATATGTGGCCTCGTCTGTCTCTGAAAGTAAAAGTTATCTGTACAAATACAAGCCCAAGGAAAAATTAACAAATGTAATCAAATAACAAGAGCCACCGCCAGGCGGGGGCAACGCATGACATTTTACTTTCTCTAAAAGCAAACAAAGAAATGTTTGAACAAAATCTTTAATATACTAATTTATATATATATATATATATAAATAGAAACACGCAATTCTAAAAATAGAAAATTCTATAAATAGAAACACACAATTCTATAAATAGAATTACCTTGAGCAACAAGTTCAGGATTCAATTCCACTATTCGTCCAACAAATCCCCAGAAATTATCATTGCCTTCTGATGCTAAAAACTCACTGTAGTGAAGAAAAAAGAGAATACTTCAATGTAAGTTGGTTTCAGATAAATATAAAGATCATATGGCTACTTTCTGGATTCACTGGTAGAGGAACAGCTCAGGTGCCTCTCTAAGCATAATTCCAACACATGTGGGCAACAGTGTACAAATACCAACCTTCTATAAACAACATAGATAGCTTTCTGACATATTTTAATCAGAAGAGTTCAAGACCCTGTTGAAATTGAACCAAAAGTAGCCACAGATGCCCAGGATTTGTAGAAAAGTAATTTTACATAAAATTATTATACAGAGAAAACATATTTACTTGAGCAATGTAAAAGGACAGCTTGTCTCTAAAATTATCTTAAACAGTATTTCAAAGAAATGTATTTCTAATTTTAGCATAAAATGTTGACTTGTTATAATAATATACAATCTACACATCTTACATACAAGTCAATATGAAACTTGATTATCATACTCATATTATCAGACATGATACATTGAATTTTCAGTTTTTCACAAATCAAAGATGGATAAATATTTGACCCTGAAATGAATAAAATAACAAAAATGATATAAATTTTGTACTTCATAGCTGAATGGTCCAAGACAAATATAGTACCTGGCTTCCAAAAGCATTGGTGTAGAGCTCCACTTTGCTTCAAGATTTACCGACACAAACTTTGGCTTTGCATCTGATAAATGTCCAACTAAAAGCAGTAGAAACAAGAAAACTGGCTTCATCATGTTTACCTGTAACATCAAGAATAAATGAGTATATTTGATAAAATACAGATCAATATTTTTTTTATTAAAAAAAACAACAAAAAACAATAGTAAGTCCAGTTTTCAAGTTTGACATATTTGGTATTTAGACATACGGTACCGTGACAAAATCATAGCACATTGTAAAATCTTGCTTAATCTAATACCAATTATTACCAATGAATGTGTTAATTTCCTTATGCCATGTGAATTGTTTCACCACATACCCTATTGAATCATGGCTTAAACTGGTTTTATGCAGGTACTTTGTAATGCCTACATCAGGCTACATGTGTTACGCCTGGAGCGAATAGCCCTGTCACTTTACTCTGATGCTGATAATTGGTTGACAAAAAAGCGAATTGCCCCTGTCATTCTAAATTTTCTCTGATGCTGATTATTGAATGACAAGCAGTAATATTTTCATGCTGTCAAGATAATATTTATGCAGGCTCAATATGAATCTCAGGCTAATTTTATGACCGGTCAAATGAGTGAATTTGAGTATTTTCACATGTCAATACCTCGAGTTCTCAAATCAAACAGACACGCTGAAGGATTATGTGTACTCTACACTTGGATTTTATATAGGAAGTCCAAAAATTAGCCTCAACAGTGCCTATAGGCTAGCCGTACGTGACTATTTTTGGACTTCCTTTTGGCAAGCAGTACACTAGCCATTAGCCTGTCCAGTCTGGCTTGATCCAAAAGGTAGTCCTATAAATATGACGTAGCTTTGAGATATTTTTGCTTCTGGGCAAAGCAATGTCATATCGAAATAGCTCAAAAACCCATAGCATGTTCCGCCAGAAAATCAAGCGGAACGAAAAACAATGAAGACAGCGTGTATTTACATAAGTTTTGACCTATTTATGAACAAAACTAAAAAATAAAAACCTTTTGTCAAAATAATTAAACTGTCACATCCGAAAAATCATGATTAAATCCTCTCATGTATTTCAATTCTTTTTACAGCCGATAAACAAATGGCGGCCATAAAGTGCGCGAAATCTGATTGGCTAATTCAAATGCAAGCGTTTAACTGAGTCAGAACAATCTAACGGAATATTTTTTTAACGAAATAATTGCCCATGTACCGTCAGTGTGTTCGAATATATTTTTCTGTCCAAAAATTTGGAATCAATTTGTAAAGCACCTTGCTTAACCAGTATGGCTGATAGACAAAAAAAGATTGATGTTTATATTTTATTTTAAATTGATAAGTACATTGTTTGAGAGTTTTTGTGTATGATTGAGCATGAAATTGAAAGAAAACAAGATAAGCTTTTGAATAAAGCTTGAAAGGCACAACAATATACATTTTTTGAATTTTTAATGATGCTATGCGTTTTTGAGCAATAACTATTAGACGTTAGGCTTGACCGACATAAACTATAACAAGCCTGTAACGTCTAATATATTGGACTAATCCAAAAGGCTGCTCTTTTTTGAAGATTTCTAATTTGATCTATTTGTGATTGGATATTTATTAACTAATGTCAAATGTACATGAATCGATCATAAATATGCAAAGATGTGTGGTAATGTAGATTTTCTACCATGTTTTCACCGGCTTAAAATTGAAATAAGGGTAAAAGTTTAAGTACGCAGTTGTGACCTGCAAATGAAACTTCTGTGTTTTACTTTACCTTCAAAATGAAAACAGGTAACTAATAAAGTGAAAATTCTATATGATAAATAAGAAATCGTCGCAAATTAACAATAAAGTTTTTTGCAACGTATGGGAGCAGCCATGTTGCAGGAACGGTAATGATGTGGTGAGTAGTGATTGGTTAAAAATAAAATGAAATACTATTCGTCCCTATACCAGTTCGTTCCAAATAGTGTCTCGCTGTTGTGCTAACTCGCAACACAAACTGAACATCTCGACTAATATAAATGATCCGATGATCATTGACGGAAATGGTTCGACAGTTTCGACTTCAAAATTCAAACCCTTTGATATTCATGCTTTTTTTCTTTAAACTTTAATTACATTACATGTTCTAATTATGTATTTTTTTTTATTTCTATGGACCCCATTGAAAATTTTTTTTTAGCTTAATGGGCTATCCATAGGTGCATAGTACCTTTTATTATTTTTTATGACAAAAGTGTGCTCTTTTATGCTGTTTTATGATCTCATTTTATATATGATTTATACGTTATCTCTTAACTGTATGATTTTATTATTTGTACCATGTGCTATGTTCCTAAAAGTATATAAATAAAAATAAACTATCAACCTTAGGTTATTCCTACATAAGCGCTACCTGCCAGAAGAAAAAGTAGGCTACAATCATTATAACCCAGGCACTACCATTGGGAAACATGTAGAACAATAAAATGTTTTACATGTAAGGCAGCAATAAAAATACTTGTTGCCCACAAACCACAATAATTAACTAAGATTTGAAAATATTTGCAGACGACACAAATTTTTTTTTTATCATAATTGGATATATACAGTCATGGACCTATTTTCTAATTTCAATTGTTGGTTAATTGCATCAACAAGTTTTCTTCCACAAAACTCTATGAAAGTTCAGACGAGCACCTTTATAATTATGTAATAAATAACCAAAGTCTTTCAGAAATTAAAAGAAAAGGAAGAATGGTGAAGACCTTTTTGCAATACGATTTTTCCAAAGTAACCAATTTTGCATGTCGCACATGCGCCTTAACGCAATAACGATACAATTAAAAGCTTTAATATACGTGATTTCAAGTATTTCAAGTTATGCACCAAGAACACAGTAATTTTGGGATGACTTATTAAAGCAGTAAGTACTTAAAACACGAGTTGTATCTATCCTACAACATATATACGAAACTGTGATCGAACTAGCAGACGACATGCTATTCTTATCATTAGTGTCACATTAGTATTCACACGGTTTAGATAATTAGATTATTAGATTAAGATTAGATATTTCAAGATTTTTACCTAATGTCTTTTGCTAACGAAAAATTGCTTTTGAAGCTTGTTCAATATTTCTTTCAAATTATAAGAGAAAAATTCCGTATATAAAATGCAAGATGTGTTAAAATATCTTGAGAATTAAATAAAACTTTTTATGTTACAATATTGCTTTTTAGATTATATAGCTACAATTCTACATAGTGTAATAGTAAAATATAGTACATGTAATTCTCGTTTTAACGTTTTAATTGTTTTCGCATCGCTTCGTACTTCAACAAAGATTAATATTACGAGGCTTATAGCTCCGTGGTTTCAGTGACGGATTCGAGACTGTGTCTTTATTTTCTACGCAATCAAACTAAAATAAATTCTGTATAAAATGAATTAAAGTTTCCTCACAAAAATATATTTAAAACGTGCTGATACTCGTCGATTTTGACATGTCGTTAAACCTGTGCAACAGTTCAGTACCATATATGAAAAAATAATATTTTCCGGCGTTACCGCGAATCACTATTCGCGTATACATCGGCGCTACCACATAATCAAAGCACAGAAGGCGCTGAATTTGATTGGGTCTCAGAATGTCAGAAAGGTGATGGTTGAGAGATTATAAACCAATTTGTTTTTGTATAGTGCCACCAATGCTTTTCAGTGTTTTAATTGTAGTTAATTGGCTTTAAGAATGCAACGCTGATATTCAATTCAATGTTTATTTGACTTAAACAATTTGAAAAAAAAAGAGTTGCCTTCCTGGATTTGAACTCCAGACCCCTCGGCCACGGTGAAGTTATATGTAAAAGGCCTGAAGAAAACCATATTATTCTAAATTAGGGTTTGTAACCCTTATTATTTCGACGCTAACTGTTGTTTAACACAGATGTTAATAATCATGAAGTTTATTATAAGTATGTATATCTATAAAGGATAAAACAATATTAGAAATCTTCGATCATTCGGGAATTATTTTGCTTTAAAATTAATGCGCTTGTCATTTGACCATCTTTACGCAGTGATCTCCCCTGAATTTTTTCGGCGTTAGTGTACATATAAAGGGAAGTAACCGCTTCAAAAAAGCGGTCTACTTTCGGCATTTGCAATTAACAGCATCAGACTCTGAAATTTCGCTACCATTATTTGTTTGGTCTGACTAACCAAACAAATAATCAAAGGGCTGCAAGCTCTGTGGTATTTTCTGATCTTTGCAATCTAAATCATACTGACTATCTGTATGTATTTTCCTATATAGGTTTATTTTATATACTATAATTCATCTTACGCAGCGACTGCGTTAAGATTTTTTTCTATAACAGTTTGAGATTGATACATATGGAATTTTGCATGACTAGAGTTGCATCAAAAATCATTTTTTATGACAGCCACACTTTATCCTTGCATATCGTGGCTACTTCCTTAAAAAAGACACTTCAAAAAAAAAGTTGCCTCGACTAGGATTTGAACCTTAGGCCTCTCACACCCTAAACGAGCGCGATACGAGCGCGATACCCCTGCACCACGGTGAAGTAATACGTAATATGTAGCCTGAATAAAAACAAATACATTGTAATTCTAAATTGAGAATTTCCATTTCGTGTTTGTAATCCTTATCAATCGAGGTATTTTGTTCACGATAAACCTGTTTAACACTGATATAACACTAAATAATTTTGCGAAAATCTTCTCGCCAAAACAGTCCGACATGTATATATTCCACTACTCGGCAGTCAGATTTATTTGTATACTACGCCCTGGAGTATTCAGTAATCGACATAGCTAAAAATAGCATTTTCATTGATTAAACTGATATTCATCCGCGAAATTTGTGATTGTAACCTCATATTTCTATTGACTAATCTGAACTTTCAATGCACTATAATTCGTTAAATGCCTACATTAAAAATTATTCTGTCTTTTAAATTGCTGGTTTTTAAGCAGTTTTGAGTGAGAACTACTTTGCGTTGTTAGGTCTGTTAGGAAATTTTGTGTTAGACCGTGGATGTTAGCTATGTATTTACTGATCTTGCGATCAGAAAATACAAAAACTATTACAATAAGCTATGAAAAAATGCCATATTGTTTCCAATTTTACGTGTCGTCTGCTAGAGAGATGTCATACCTGTAAAAAAATTGAATAGTACATGGACATGTCGGAGGGAAAATACAATGTCTCCGTACGTAATAAAAAAGCACATAAATTGTACCTATTTAAAATGAGTTATATAATACGTTTATTGTCTGTATACAACATATTAAAATTAGTTAGTATTAAATACTATATTATCATCTGTGTTTAAAAATAGTCTAGCTCCGTGAATGAATTATATTTTAGAAATTTAAAAAAAACTAGAATGAGTCTCGCTGTTACAGTAAGCAGACATTATTCCAAAAGGATCCGTCAATGATTTTTTCATATACCGTTGTTTGCTTGTCGTCTGCAATTATTTTGATCGTCTGCTACTGCTGGCATATAGGTTGTCGCGTGCTCGTCTTTGAGAACCGTGAAAATTCACTAACTGGATTAGGCGATCTGCTTGATGGTTTCTCGTTTGTAGTGAGCAAATGTTTTTGCTTCGGTTTTTAGTATCCAAAAGAGATACGTCTGTCTATGCTGAAAGCGTAAACTTGATCGCGTACTTGTTATACAAAGGTTTAATGTGGAATAATGCCAAATGAATCTTTTCATGTCAACAGACAGTATACCGGAAGTAAACGGTATCCATAACAATTGTCGTCTGCTGATTTCTTTTTTTTTTTGTATTTCTCCATGATGGATTTGTGCAGTTTGAAAACTTTTCTGCAGGTAAGTTAACATTATTGTTTGAACTTTTGACAGGCACGCAAATATAAAATTTATAGATTACAGTGCATGAAAGGGTGTATTCCTTTAAATAGCAGAGACACGGGAGGCGTTCGTGAATGCACGTGCATAGTGGCTCTTGAATATCTTACATGCAGATGTCTCTCTTTTATGATCATTGACATGTCTTGTGTAACTATACTCGTACGTCACAACTTGGGCTTAAATTTGACACATTCAAATGGTTTCGGATCTGGATATGTCAATGCATTGCTAGCAGTTGAAATATGGCGAAAATTGTCGTTTGCTTTTTTGGCGTAGCATATCATCATGTGCTAAAGATATTGTTTGACTATATTCTTGCAGGTGACTTCTGCTGGAAACATGTAAGCCATATCCAATAATGGCACGTTTCCGGCTTTTACATTTAATAGTTTCTGGTCTAACACCAAAACTGTAAAACCGATCGCGTTGCACACCATCTCCCCTTTGTAAACTTTCGGTTTTTCTACATGTCTAAGGAAAGCGTCTACACTAATATGAACGGGTTCGTTTCACCGCATGCTTTCTAGCTTTTTAATTAACTTAACAAGTTATCTACCTTACGTGCCATGTTTCCTTCATCGACTCTTACGGATTTCTTTACAATTAATTTCCCTTTCCTCTTCGGCCCGACGCTCCAGCTTTCTGTTTTTCTAGAACGCTGACATACTAGTAAGTTACAATGCCGTGATACGAATCATCAACTTCCGTTCCTTGATCAGCATCAACATCTGATTTATTAATATCTTTGTCATGACCGTCTCCAACGCCATCACTGTGTTTGAAATGACAAAAGATTTCACTGTTGTCCTGACAATCTCTGACTGGTATAGCAATTCTGAGATTAGAAGAAAATTGATTTTCATTTTTAGAAAATGATATTACTTGATTCGTTGAAATTAATTAAGATACATAAACGGAGTAAAACATTAATTTGAAAATCGATTTCGGTAAGCCTGTTGCATTAAATAGAGCTATATACATGTCCACTATAATACTCTCAAACATCTTTGTTTCTTTTTTTTAAACAAATATTTCGTATATACCTTTTCTACAATTTAAAGACAACATTTCCGTCTTCGTTTTTAAATAGCTGAAATCTGAATCAAATATTTTTTAATATTCCGCTGTTAAAAAGCAGCTGTCTTTGTGGGTAATGTATAGCGTATTGAAAACCACAGAGCTAACGTCTTTTTTACGCTAACTTGACGCTATTCTCAAAATATGTGCAAGGGCGACAATTTTGTAAATGTTTCTTGTGTGTTGCGCATGAGTATCGAGAACGTAATTTTAAGTCATACAAAAAGTTTAACTCATTAATGCAGCCTGGGACATATGATAACGTATGTCCCAGATGCAGCATAAAATAATTTGTAAGAGGATGCACTGTAATGTGTAGGAGAAGGCACGTTTTTTTTCAAAACGGCTTATATTAAGTTTGTTTGATATATATGATCAGTACATGTGCTGGGATTGACAAATATGCATTTTATTTGGATTTTAAAGGCGTTTTGAGCTCCAAACCCCAAGTGTCTGTGGTTTAGTTTCGACCGAAATGCCGTAGCCGTCCTATGTATTCATACGTGTCCGAGGTCCTTATCTGAAAACAGACGGAAAGGGCCGAAAAGTTGTTTCAATAATGAAAAGGTCAGAGTTGACCGAAGTACGGCGAAAAACCCCGGACAATTTTCCCGCTTCACACATTATAGGTCACGTGATCATTTGAGCACAGAAAAGACCAGTTTAGCAGGGAACGTCGCACGGCGAAGATGGAAGGTGTGTTAATATTGCGTCATTTGATTTTTTCAGGTATGTTCAGTACTGGAAGAAGAAGAAGATGAAGAAAAGAAGAAGATAAAGAAGAAGATGAAGAAAAAGAAGAAGCCTGTTTAGGAGGGAGAGTTGCACGGCGAAGATGGAAGAAATGGCGTGCAGGTGTGTTGATATTTTCATTGTACTTTATTGTGTCATTTGATTTTTTCATTTTTCATGTATTGAATGCCTTTGTTATATGACTGTTTATTTTTATTTTGATGATTTGTATACATAATTGCTCCTGATAATTGAGACACCTGGCCGTTTTACCCCGCCCCCACATGACTTGCTAGTTATCGTGTTGATGAAATATGGTTGATGTTTAATTTGACGATCTCGATTGGCCAGTCTGACCAGCTGCGTGACATAACATACTTCGGTGTTTTTTGTTTATTTTTTTTATTGATTATTGACAAACTCTCCTGCCACGTTCTGATTATTAATACATGTATTTTGTGCATGTCAAACAGGTTTATTTATAAATATATAAAAGGATGTATGTTTAAAAAAAATGTGTATACAAAATTTGTATGAAAATTTGTATAAAAATTGGATATAAAAATGTTTTTGGTCGCTCTGTGATATATGTTAAATGCATAATGGGTATTAAATGCATAATGGCTATTAATTGCAAAAAAAGGAGTGGACAAATCGCAAACAATAGTTTAACTGTAAACATGTCAAAGAAGGTTTTTTTTAAATATGTACAAATGTAAAATAATGAGTTTCAAAAAATGTGTATAAGACTGTGTATGAAATGTGTATCAAAAATGTTATAAAGAATGGGTGTATAAAAATGGGTATAAAAATTATGTATAAAATGGGTATAAAAGATGGGTACGTCGCACGGCGAAGATGGAAAATTGGTGTTGCAGGTGTGTTAATATTGCGTCATTTGATTTTTTTAGGTATGTACAGTACTGGAAGAAGAAGTAGAAGAAGAAGAAGACTGTTTAGGAGGGAGGGTTGCACGGCGAAGATGGTAGAAATGGCGTGCAGGTGTGTTGATATTTTCATTGTACTTTATTGTGTCATTTGATTTTTTCATTTTTCATGTATTGAATGCCTTTGTTATATGACTGTTTATTTTTATTTTGATGATTTGTATACATAATTGCTCCTGATAATTGAGACACCTGGCCGTTTTACCCCGCCCCCACATGACTTGCTAGTTATCGTGTTGATGAAATATGGTTGATGTTTAATTTGACGATCTCGATTGGCCAGTCTGACCAGCTGCGTGACATAACATACTTCGGTGTTTTTTGTTTATTTTTTTTATTGATTATTGACAAACTCTCCTGCCACGTTCTGATTATTAATACATGTATTTTGTGCATGTCAAACAGGTTTATTTATAAATATATAAAAGGATGTATGTTTAAAAAAAATGTGTATACAAAATTTGTATGAAAATTTGTATAAAAATTGGATATAAAAATGTTTTTGGTCGCTCTGTGATATATGTTAAATGCATAATGGGTATTAAATGCATAATGGCTATTAAATGCAAAAAAAGGAGTGGACAAATCGCAAACAATAGTTTAACTGTAAACATGTCAAAGAAGGTTTTTTTAAATATGTACAAATGTAAAATAATGAGTTTCAAAAAATGTGTATAAGACTGTGTATGAAATGTGTATCAAAAATGGTATAAAGAATGGGTGTATAAAAATGGGTATAAAAATTATGTATAAAAATGGGTATAAAAGATGGGTACGTCACACGGCGAAGATGGAAAATTGGTTTTGCAGGTGTGTTAATATTGCGTCATTTGATTTTTTCAGGTATGTACTGTACTGGAAGAAGAAGTAGAAGAAGAAAAAGAAGAAGCCTGTTTAGGAGGGAGGGTTGCACGGCGAAGATGGAAGAAATGGCGTGCAGGTGTGTTGATATTTTCATTGTACTTTATTGTGTCATTTGATTTTTTCATTTTTCATGTATTGAATGCCTTTGTTATATGACTGTTTATTTTTATTTTGATGATTTGTATACATAATTGCTCCTGAGAATTGAGACACCTGGCCGTTTTACCCCGCCCCCACATGACTTGCTAGTTATCGTGTTGATGAAATATGGTTGATGTTTAATTTGACGATCTCAATTGGCCAGTCTGACCAGCCGCGCGACATAACATACTTCGGTGTTTTTTGTTTATTTTTTTTATTGATTATTGACAAACTCTCCTGCCACGTTCTGATTATTAATACATGTATTTTGTGCATGTCAAACAGGTTTATTTATAAATATATAAAAGGATGTATGTTAAAAAAAAAATGTGTATACAAAATTTGTGTGAAAATTGGTATAAAATTGGTATAAAATTGGATATAAAAATGATTTTGGTCGCTCGGTGATATATGTTAAATGCATAATGGGTATTAAATGCATAATGGGTATTAAATGCAAAAAAAAGGAGTGGAAAAATCGCAAACAATAGTTTAACTGTAAACATGTCAAAGAAGGTTTTTTTAAATATGTACAAATGTAAAATAATGAGTTTCAAAAAATGTGTATAAGACTGTGTATGAAATGTGTATCAAAAATGTTATAAAGAATGGGTGTATAAAAATGGGTATAGAAATTATGTATAAAATGGGTATAAAAGATGGGTACGTCACACGGCGAAGATGGAAAATTGGTTTTGCAGGTGTGTTAATATTGCGTCATTTGATTTTTTCAGGTATGTACAGTACTGGAAGAAGAAATAGAAGAAGAAAAAGAATAAGCCTGTTTAGGAGGGAGAGTTGCACAGCGAAGATGGGAGAAATGGCGTGCAGGTGTGTTGATATTTTCATTGTACTTTATTGTGTCATTTGATTTTTTCATTTTTCATGTATTGAATGCCTTTGTTATATGACTGTTTATTTTTATTTTGATGATTTGTATATATAATTGCTCCTGATAAATGAGACACCTGGCTGTTTTACCTCGCCCCCACATGACTTGCTAGTTATCGTGTTGATGAAATATGGTTGATGTTTAATTTGACGATCTCGATTGGCCAGTCTGACCAGCCGCGTGACATAACATACTTCGGTGTTTTTTGTTTATTTTTTTTATTGATTATTGACAAACTCTCCCGCCGCGTTCTGATTATTAATACATGTATTTTGTGCATGTCAAACAGGTTTATTTATAAATATATAAAAGGATGTATGTTTAAAAAAAATGTGTATACAAAATTTGTATGAAAATTGGTATAAAAATTGGATATAAAAATGTTTTTGGTCGCTCGGTGATATATGTTAAATGCATAATGGGTATTAAATGCATAATGGGTATTAAATGCAAAAAAAGGAGTGGACAAATCGCAAACAATAGTTTAACTGTAAACATGTCAAAGAAGGTTTTTTTAAATATGTACAAATGTAAAATAATGAGTTTCAAAAAATGTGTATAAGACTGTGTATGAAATGTGTATCAAAAATGTTATAAAGAATGGGTGTATAAAAATGGGTATAAAAATTATGTATAAAAATGGGTATAAAAGATGGGTACGTCACACGGCGAAGATGGAAAATTGGTTTTGCAGGTGTGTTAATATTGCGTCATTTGATTTTTTCAGGTATGTACAGTACTGGAAGAAGAAGTAGAAGAAGAAAAAGAAGAAGCCTGTTTAGGAGGGAGAGTTGCACGGTGAAGATGGAAGAAATGGCGTGCAGGTGTGTTGATATTTTCATTGTACTTTATTGTGTCATTTGATTTTTTCATTTTTCATGTATTGAATGCCTTTGTTATATGACTGTTTATTTTTATTTTGATGATTTGTATACATAATTGCTCCTGATAATTGAGACACCTGGCCGTTTTACCCCGCCCCCACATGACTTGCTAGTTACCGTGTTGATGAAATATGGTTGATGTTTAATTTGACGATCTCGATTGGCCAGTCTGACCAGCCGCGCGACATAACATACTTCGGTGTTTTTTGTTTATTTTTTTTATTGTTTATTGACAAACTCTCCCGCCACGTTCTGATTATTAATACATGTATTTTGTGCATGTCAAACAGGTTTATTTATAAATATATAAAAGGATGTATGTTAAAAAAAAATGTGTATACAAAATTTGTGTGAAAATTGGTATAAAAATTGGTATAAAATTGGATATAAAAATGATTTTGGTCGCTCGGTGATATATGTTAAATGCATAATGGGTATTAAATGCATAATGGGTATTAAATGCAAAAAAAAGGAGTGGACAAATCGCTAAAAATAGTTTAACTGTAAACATGTCAAAGAAGGTTTTTTTAAATATGTACAAATGTAAAATAATGAGTTTCAAAAAATGTGTATAAGACTGTGTATGAAATGTGTATCAAAAATGGTATAAAGAATGGGTGTATAAAAATGGGTATAAAAATTATGTATAAAAATGGGTATAAAAGATGGGTATAAAAATGGGTATAAAAATTATGTATAAAAATGGGTATAAAAGATGGGTATAAAAATTGTTTCTAGTCGACAGTTTCTAGTACGAGTGGAAAAAAGTGGTAATTCTATCGGAGAAATCCTATTAAAGTTAATTGTTAAAGGTTTTTTTATAGATATGCAAAAAAATTGTTTAAAAAATGTTTATGAATAATTTGTTTGAAATGGGCATCATAAAAGGTATCATAAAAGGTATCATAAAAGGGTATTAAAATGTATCTGGTCTCTCAGCCTCAGGTTGACTGCTTCAAAAAGCAGGAGAAATCCTGTTAAATATGTCAAAGAATGTTTTTTAAATATTTAAAATAGCGAGTTTCAAAAAAAAAATGTGTATAAAACTTGTGTGTAAAAATCATTGTGTATAAAAATGGGTATCATAAAAAGTAAAAAAAATCTGGTCTCTCAGCCGCAGTATAATTGGCTGGGGGTCCACTACTCTCAACGTAGAAGCATGTATAAAAAATGGGTTTCATAAAAAGGTATAAAAAATCTGGTCTCTCAGCCACAGTATAATTGGCTGGGGGTCCACTACTCTCAACGTAGAAACATGTATAAAAAATGGGTATCATAAAAAGGTATAAAAAAATCTGGTCTTTCAGCCGCAGTTTGGCTGGGGTCCGTACTCTCAACGTAAAAACATGTATAAAAAAAGGTATAAAAATCTGGTCTCTCAGCCGCAGTATAATTGGCTGGGGGTCCACTACTCTCAACATAGAAGCATGTATAAAAAATGGGTTTCATAAAAAGGTATAAAAAATCTGGTCTCTCAGCCACAGTATAATTGGCTGGGGGTCCACTACTCTCAACATGTATAAAAACATGTATAAAAAAAGGTATAAAAATCTGGTCTCTCAGCCGCAGTTTGGCTGGGGGGTCCGTACTCTCAATGTAAAAACATGTATTAAAAAAGGTATAAAAATCTGGTCTTTCAGCCGCAGTTTGGCTGGGGGGTCCGTACTCTCAACGTAACACATGTATAAAAAACGGGTATCATAAAAAGGTATAAAAATCTGGTTTTTCAGCCGCAGTTTGGCTGGGGGTCCGTACTCTCAACGTAAAACATGTATAAAAACCGGGTATCATAAAAAGGTATAAAAAAAATCTGGTCTCTCAGCCACAGCATAATTGGCTGGGGGGTCCGTAATCTGAACGTAAAAACATGTACATGTATAAAAAATGGGTATCATAAAAAGGTATAAAAAAAATCTGGTCTCTCAGCCACAGTATAATTGGCTGGGGTCCGTATTTCTAGTAGGTGTCCAGAAAGTGGTAATAGCTAGGAGAAATATGTAAAATAATGTGTTTCAAAAAAATGAGTATTGTAATTTGTATAAAAAATGTGTATAAAAAATGTGTATAAAAATTATTTCTGTTTTTTATTTTTTTTTCAGTGCTGAGGGATATGGAGTTTCATAGTATGGAAGTGGCCTGGATCATGACTGTAATTGGTAAATATCTTTTGGTAAGCAAACAGACACAAATATTTTCATTTTGTGTCTGAAGTGGCGATGCGGAATTTCCTAGATTTTTGCCTTCATATCCTTACTTTACATCATAAATTGTTTTGTCATTTACTTATAAATTGTATTTATTTTCTCCCTCCGATACAAATATTTTCGTTTTGTTCCCACCCGGCACAAATATTTTCGTTTCGTGCCTGACTAGGCAATGCGGAATTTTCGTGGATTTTTCGTTTCTTTATGGATTTGTAAAAAAAAACTTGTGTATCAAAATAATTTGTATGAATAATTTGTATAAAAAGGGTTTTATAAAAAGGTATTAAATCTGGTTTCTGGTTGGCTGTTTCTCAAACAGGAGAATTTCAGCTAAACTTGTCAAATGTGTTTTTTATAGATTTGTAAAAAAAATGTGTATTAAAATAATTTGTAATAATAATTTATATGAAAAGGGTTTCATATAAAGAGTATATGTATCTGGTTTCTGGTTGGCTGCTTCAAAAAGGGTAAACTGTGAGGAAAAATCCTGTTAAACATGTCAAAGGTTTTTTTATAAATAGTAAAAAAAATCAGTTTACAGAAAACTGTATAAAAAAATTTGTATGAAAGTCCTTGTGTGAATAAAGAATATGTATAAAAGTTGTTTCTGGTCGGCTGTATGGAGTATGCTCCATAATATTCCCCATGAAATGAATTGTGTGGTAAAAAAATATGGAAAAGTTATAATTTAAAAAAGGGTATTTGTAATAAGTTTAAAAGTGTGCATCTTTGATGTTAGTATAACACCTACTAATTTTGGGTTTTGAGCTCATCGTGCAACTTTATGCGATTTCTTCTTTATAGTTAGAAATTTTAAACACAAAGATGTTCAAAGGGTTATTACATATGTAAACATTGGTATGATATGCTATGAATGGTCTTTATAAAGTGCAATACCCGGTATGTGGCAGTAATAAAAAATGGTATAAAGAATTTTATAAATATACCGGTATGTAAAAAGAATGTGTTACAAAAATGTGCTTGAAAAATGTGTATCAAAAAAGGGTATAAAATTAAAAATGTTTCTGGTCAGCTCTTAAAGAGCTATATGTATGTTGTGTAAAAGTATGTTCTGGGTATGGAATGTAAATTTTTTTTTAAACTTAAATAAAAGAAACAATAACAAGAAAACATATCAAAAACATAAAAGCTATATTATTATAAAAATAATAATTACCTAAAAGTAATAATAATTATAATAATAAACAAATTATTATATTAATAATAATAATAACATAAATGTAATAATAAAAAAATTAAATTATAAAAGTAATAATGATTTTTTTTTTTATAAAAGTAATAATAAAAAAAATAATAATAATAATAAATCACATACCAACCACATCACAAGATTCGTTAACTGAATGGTGGGAGAAGTGTAGCGCGCTTTAAAAATGATAATACAAAAATAATAATCAAACGTCCATTCAGTCGTGCGTTTATAACGGTTCGACGTATACTATGACTACACTTCTTCCAATGCTGCCTAGTTTTAATAACTAGCATGTCCCAAGCCATGATAAAAGCAGAGGGGAAGAAATGAAGTTAATAGATTTTATAGTGATATCAACAAAATTGTCTTATCACTGTCCACAATTTAGTCAGTATAATTATTTTGAAATTTTCCCTAAAATAAGATTGAAAGAAAGGCAAGTCCATTTAATATACAGCTCGATTTCATTAGTTCTTTCATTAACCTTGTTTTTCATTTTTTGCTCAGTTATGCCCCTTTTTTCCACAGAAGCTATTACCGTATATATATTCACTTTAACCTTACGCATCCAATTGGCATGCATTTCTAATGGGAAAATAACCTTGACAGAATTTTTCTTAATTATCTCCCTTTTAGTTTAAGACATTTTCCTTATTTTCATAAAAAAGCATCATACATATTCACTACAAACTTGAAGAACTTGTTTACTATCAAGGGCATGTAGGTGTGTCCGTGGCTGAGTGGTTAAGGTTGTTGACTTTAAACAGGAAATCTGAATCTTTTCATGTCAGGTATCCACCAGTAAAGCTGGAAAGTCACCATATGACCTAAACTGTGTCGGTGTGACTTAAAACCAGTAAAAAACAAACACAATCAAGGGCATGTAATTCTGCCAAGCACTTGCAGAATTATGCCCCCTTTTTACTTTATATTTTTTTTTTACTATTCAGCACTGAGTAAAATAAGAGTGTGCTGTTCATTGACAGATCTTGTAATTTTGATAATTTTGATAATTTGTCTAATTTATGCCATTTGTACTCTTTTTATTCTCCAATTGGTGAATTTACATTTTTTGTATCTAACATAATCATGTGTGTTGATGTCACAGCATGAACAAGTGAGAAAATTTCCCTAAAATAAGATTGAAAGATAGGCAAGTCCATTTAATATACAGCTCGATTTCATTAGTTCTTTCATTAACCTGTTTTTCATTTTTTGCTCAGTTATGCCCCTTTTTTCCACAGAAGCTATTACCGTATATATATTCACTTTAACCTTACGCATCCAATTGGCATGCATTTCTAATGGGAAAATAACCTTGACAGAATTTTTCTTAATTATCTCCCTTTTAGTTTAAGACATTTTCCTTATTTTCATAAAAAAGCATCATACATATTCACTACAAACTTGAAGAACTTGTTTACTATCAAGGGCATGTAGGTGTGTCCGTGGCTAAGGTTGTTGACTTTAAACAGGAAATCTGGATCTTTTCAAGTCAGGTATCCACCAGTAAAGCTGGAAAGTCACCATATGACCTAAACTGTGTCG